ATTTTGTGGCTTAAGGCCTTTATATGATCCCAGTATGTTGGATGTGGGTCACACCTGCTTGAAATGTTTATCAGGTTATGCTGCACGTTTGTGAAAGTACTCTGATGCTCTATCATAAAGAGTAACAGACAGTTATTTTTGTTTATGCTGAGAAAGTGATATCTTACGTGCAAGATCAGGATTTTCTTCTCTGTAACACACTATGTAATAGAGCTAATTGCAGCAAGACTTTTATTCCTCCTTATGAAGCAAGGCAGTGCTTAAAGGCAGGATACCAGACACGATAGATGGACTGATTTACTGTGCCTAATTCTTTTTCTGCAATAGAAGCAGCCTTTGTGTTCTACAAGCTGAACGTTGATTATGGCTGTTCAGGCAAAAGGATTCTAATGCATGATTCTTTTTCTGCGTCTTCTCTTTAAACCTGAATTTAATCTTCTGTGTGGATAACTGAGTCAGCTGAGCAGCTGGTAACATAAATTACTGTTTATTTCAGCAAAATTTTCCAATCTTCAGCAGCTTAGTAGAGGAATAATGTTAGAGAAGAGATATATTTTTACATCTTTTAAGATGACGAAGTAACCAGTATTCTATGACCAGTCAATTTGCTCCAGAATAGCAAGGGTCAGGCATCTGTATTGTGACATAGTTCAGTAACAAGTACTTACTTTCTGCTCGAGTATATCAATTTCATCAGTTCTTACTTTCATGTTCTTTGGCAAGTGGAAAACCTTCAGGTTTTTAGTGAGTCTGAAAGTCACTATAAATTGCAGAATCAGATGGGAGCTCCCACAGAGAATGAAAATAAATCACCTATGTGTTGGTCATTCAGTGCAATGAAGCAAGTTGCAATTGTCCCATAAATGAGCAGCATTCTACATAAATATGTAAATAAGTAGCTGGGTATAGAGTGTTAACTTAGATGTTTCTTTTGCATAGACTGTGTGATCACAAATCCGCTTGGGTTTTTGGGTGGCAGTAGCCGTCATTTGGAATTACTTGATTGCATAGCAGAGCACCTCGTGAGAGCATCAGTATTTCCAGCTGCATTGCTGGGAGCTAATGGGATTTTGTGCTCTGTCAGCTTACAGCTGACTTGAGGTGGGGGTTCTTCACCAAGAGAGTTCTCATATCATCTCAGGATATGGTATGGAGAAATGTTTTTGCCCATGTTTGGTAGCTCTAAGACCGTACTGTATTTTTAGAATAGCTTCTCTGAGAAGAATTCCAATGCAATTCAGAGAAAACCCTCTTCAAGATGCCACGAGTGCCCCTGGGGACCAATCAGCCTGCTGGCTAACCCCTCTGACTAGCCAGCATAGTCAGGAGGCAGGAGGGCAGCCTGCAGGCTCTGTGTCTGAGGGGCCTGCTGGGCAGGCTGTGAGAGCACTGAGTCACTGCACCCTGGGCAGAGGCCCACGGAGGCTGGTGCCTTATGGATCATTCTGCTGATGGTGTTGCCTCCCTGGCCAGCCTTTCTGGCATGGGATTTCCCCATAGCTGTCCTATAATGAAGATGACTGGGTTTTTCTTGTAAAGGCAGTTGTGGATCTGAGACTTGCATAATTTATTCTTAATGGCCATGTGGAATCATGCTAACTACAGTTAAATTATGTATGCTTATTAAAATGTTTTTGGAATAGAAACTTGCTTTTAAAATCAATGTAAAATTTTGTGTAGGTGTGCTCTGATGATGCTTTTTTTGTACTGTTTAGATTAATGTGACTTGAAGTGCTTATCTGAAGTTTGCATGTTTAGGCAAGTGTGCTTATTTGAAACAAACCAAAACACCACGGAGTCCTGACAAACACCACAGAGCATCCACACTTGCTGGTGTGTTAAGTCAAATGTAAGAAATCAAAATGTGGTGCTATAGATTTTTAACTTGTGTTTTCCAGCGTGCAGCATGATCCTTGCGGGAGTCAGGGGAATAGTTAAAGTCTCCTCACCAAGAGGAGACTTTAGTGTCATGTCTTTCCATTTTGGGAACCAGCACACAGCTTTCAGGACAACAGCTCTGATCATGAAGACACAGGCTTTCCTTCCAGAAGAGCATGTGTAGCTGAGGGTTGATTTCCTATGGGATTATTATATAAAGGCATGCATTTACTGCTATAGTAGATTCTGTTCTCAAGTACGTAAGCATGGGTGTTGTTTTTTTTTTTTTTTTTTTTTTTTTTATTTTTAATATTTCATTGACAAAGCTCATCTTGTTTCTTTCTTTAAATGGTTTTCTGAGATAGGCACGTGGTAAATCACTTTATTGTACTCTATGGTGATTCTGTTTGCAGTGTCTTGCCTCTGATATGTTTGACCTTTATTTGCTCAAGTACTTTTACGAGTTCGTTAAATTGATACCAAAATTTGTTTGAAAGTGCCAGTAGTGTGTAAAACACTTGTATTTTTAATTGCAGTCTGTGATGTTTTGCCTTTAAATAAGTATATTTGGAAAAAGCTGATTTTTATTAACTGACTATCTAGTTCCAGGAGAAAGAATGGAGAAGTTTTGTTTGCCTTCATTGAGATTAGTGTTACATTTATTATGATCATATGAACAATTTTGATTCCTTGCCAGTAATCCCTAGCATAATAAATATGAACGTTTCTTAATGAAGCATTATTTTTTCCATCTTACTGTTTTAAAGTGGTTTGTTTGACCTCTAGTGTTAAGCTATGAAATTGCACCCCATTGACACAAAAATACCTTTTATTTCAGAAAAGCCGGTCTCCCCCAAATCAGGTACATTGAAGAGTCCACCTAAAGGCTTTGATACATCTGCAATCAACAAAAGCTATTACAATGTGGTGAGTGAACCTTTTTTCTCCTTGTGAGCTTTTTATATACAGTAGAACCTCATTTAATTAAATGCTCTTGTCACTACAATGAAATTAAGCCTTGTCAGAACCCTAGTGTTGAAACCGGATAGGAATTTTAGTGAGTTCTCACACAAACAAGATCATTTCAGTTTAATGAAATATCATGCATATGGATTCTAAGCGTGATTCAAAATTATAGTCTAAAATAAGTGAATAATATGCATTACTGTAATGTATTCTGCTCATTTTACTTGCTTGGCTAGTTGTTAATTTCATTTCTCTCACCTTAATATGCAGTCGCTCTTCACCAGCCACTATAAATTAATGGAATTCTGATGTATGAAAATAATTGAGAATATTTTGTTCTTTTGTTGAACAAGGCATTGAACAACTGGAATGATTTACCTTCTTTGTATTCATGCTTATAAATCCACTTGCTTATTAACTTCCAGAACCTCTCCCTTGTAACTGACGAATTGATTTCATGGCAGAATTTGCATAGCCAGAAAATATGGATCGCCTTTAATACGCACCCAGGGGTTCTACGGTCTCGTATTCGTACCTTTTTAATAGATAAGAAATGTGAAATTTAATCTTTAAACCTGATGTAACCATTTTGCGAAACCTTTGTTTACTAACAGGAGGTACTTGGGGAAGCAAAAACAGTGTGATGCTTTTTGTTAACCACTGCTCCCTGCTGGTGTAAGAAGAAAGCACAAGCATTCTTTCCTTTTTCTTTGAACCACTGCCTTTGGTTTTCTTTTCTCTTCATCTTATTTGTCAGGGTTAGAAGGACCATCAACATCGTTTCATGCTTTCATCTTTTGTGATTGTGGCATGGATAACGTGAGCCACCTGGGGAGCAGAGCAGCCTTGTGCATAGGCCTCTATTTGAAAATATGGAAGCACCCCCCTGCTCCTCCCCACTCACTTGCACGATGTATCTGTCAACAGCCATATTTCTTTGGTAAATGATGGGCTCTGATGCTTTGGCTTGTGTTCCACACCTGCTAGCCTTGATGAAAATGATTGACGAAGGCACATATCTTCAAATACCAGAAGTAATGCTCTCACTCTACTACATGCAGCAACAAAATACTAGATTGCTTCCCTTTTTACTTTTTCCCTGTGTATCTTCATTAGCCCATTTTACTGTCTTTTTTTTTTTTTTTTTTTGAAGTTGCTGTAGTGTGATGGTTGTTTCTCTTTAATTGCTGTTTTGATGTTAAAACCTATTGGTTTTTTCCCTACAAGTAACTGGAATGAATGCACAAATACAGCAAAGATAAGGTTTAATTGTTTCAGTGGGTGGAAGAGTGCTCTTAGTTCAATTGAATATATATCCATTATGACATTTTAGTCAAAGTAAATTGACGTTTTACTTTTTTTTTTTTTTTTTAAGCCTAAATTGGGCTGCTAAATCTTAGGGTTTCTCTGATAGGTCCACATATTACATAAAGTCATAATAAATATGCGTAATGTAATAAAAAGTCATTTGTTAAATTAGGATTTAGTTAAAGCTCCAGTTCGACTGTGTACAAAACAAGTTAAATTTTATGCTTGCCTACTTTACTTAATAACTTAGGCCAGTTTCAGGGCTAACAGTTTACTTCATTGAAAATAAAAGAAAGTAAATGTTTGAAAGTAAATGGCTAAAACCATAGTTAAGGAGGCTAAGTTACAAAAGGCCATGCAGTTTTGAAGCAATGTCTTTGTTTTCTTTTTATAATTGTTTCCTGAATAACATATTGCCATTATCACAGAAATTTGAGTTACTATCCACGTTAGGAATCACAGAATCGCAAGGTTGGAAACGACCTGCAAGATCATCTGGTCCAACCACCTCCCATTCCTATCAGTACCACAAGCACTAAACCACATCTCGTAGCTCCTCATCCAGGCACCTCTTGAACAGGGACGGCGACTCCACCACCTCCCTGGGCAGCCATTCCAGTGCCTGACCACCCTTGGAGAGAAAAAGTTTCTCCTAATGTCCAACCTAAACCTCCTCTGGTACAACTTTTGGCCATAGCAGTTAGGAAGCAGCTAGCCATAGCTGCGTTCTACAGTTGTCTGTCATTTTCTGTTGTAAATGATAAATAGTGACATAGGTGACATCACACACTCAAAACCAGGTTATTTTTCACCTTGATCAGGTGCATTGATCTGATGAGATAAGTTTCCTTCTGTTTTGACTGCTAGCTATTTATTAACTAATGAGGATCTGTCGTGTCCTGAGGGGGAAAACTGACTTATCCATAGTAATATAGATGGTAAATTAAAGCATTGGCCCTAGAATATTGTTATGAAGTCTGTCAGCAGTGAATTAGATAATTGTTTTGTTTTCACTTTTTTCTGCACTGTAACAAATACCTCCAATTGTTAATTTCATCACCTTATTATTTTTGTTTAAAAAATGAGAGGCTGTGCTATAGCATGCACTTTGTTTCCAAGAGGTAAGACTTTATTGCTGTTCTTAAAATTTAAATTGGGGTAGATGGCATCTACATTTTCTTGAAACATTCTAAGTGCTTACTACGGCAATATAACCCAAATAATTATTTTAAGTCATTAGTATGTAGTGATATTTAAAGGTAGATTAACATTCAAACAGTTTAAACTGTGAATTGATTTTTTTTTTCTTTTTTTGCTGTGTGAGCTGCAACTCCTGCTTTATGTAACTGGTCATTGTTACAGATGTGGTTCTTCCCTATGATAAGCATTTCATCATCAATCCACATGAAACCCGTACTAAAGGTCAAAAACGAGTAGCTCCTAATGAACTGTAGATGAAAGAGCATAGCCTGAGTTAGAGTAAGCATTTAAAAACTGTGTTGCTGTCACTTGACAGCCAAGCATGTTCTGGGACTGGTGTGCTGGAATTCCTTGCTTCTGTTGAGTTGTGACTGTATTCCTTCATACATACTAAGACCCTGTAAACCTCATGATTATTTGTTGCTATCTTTCCTAGGGAAGGATTTATGCTGCAGGTAGCACCTGTGAGTGTGTTGGTCAGCCTGAGGAAAAGAATCAAAGGACAGTTCAGAGGAAACTCAGGAAGTGGTAGGAGAGGCTTTGCTAATCTCCCCTTCTGGGAAAACAACTGTATAGGCTCAGGAAAGTGCTTAAAATGAAGATGAGACTGCTTTCTTCTGTTCTTCATCTCCGTGTAAACATGTTCATGGATTTGCAGAACTCCACTCGAAGTTCGTAACACAGATGGTGATGGTCTCTGTGCTTTATTAGTGGTGCCTCGCAGTTGGGGTTGCTTGAAAGTATGGGATGTGTTTGGTTTATTGTTACACTTTGCCTAGATGGAGACTGTGGGTTACTGGAGTGACTGTGCTGCAGCATCTTCTCCATTAAATGCTACAAGTCTGAACAGGATATAATATGAACCAGACTTGTTGGAAGTGTTTCTAACTTGACCATGTAGAAGTAATTCAGTAGCCTGCCGCTGAAGAAGCGATCGTATTATTGCATGTTATTCCCTGAGGACAGAATGGGTTATGTTTTATTTTTTCTTGTTGATTCCTTGAGAATTTAAAACTTGGCGTCCCACATAAAAATTATCTTGGCTTAGAAGATAATTGTGTGGAGTCTAAGCAGCTTTTCTAAAAGCTGGTAAAGAAATGGACAGCATTCTCTATGGTATGAGTATTTTGATAAGTGATTGGAAAACAACTGTGCCTTCTGAGGCCCTGCTTTTCAAGTTGGAGCAAGTATTTGTATTTATCAAAGTTCATGAATGTTTGAGAGGGCACTGGATATAATGGGATACTTTTATGGTGCTTTACAGTGCTCCTCTTGAGACCTCTTTTAGGGAATATAGTCTGAGTTGCATGATCCGGGAACATTAGACATTGACTGCTTTTGCTGAACACGTGATACTCCACTTGAATGCTTTACTGCTTGCATAAAATGAGAATGTGCTGCAGGATCATGCCCAAGTGTCGCTATGAAATCTGCCTTTTTTCCCTCTGTTGGAAGGTGATCAGCTTTGTGCAGGTCATTCAAATCCATTTTTGGGTGGTAGCTTTCCCCTTAGGGAAATGACTGGGGTTTTGTGTGACAGAATTGTTAACCAAGCTTGAATTTTCCATGCCTTGTGATTGAGAGAGCTTGTGCTCTGTGAGCTCAGTTTTCTGTGCCTGCCATTCATCAGTGTTACGGATTGTAAAAGCTGCCACTTCAATGCTGCTCTTTTGGTACCCAGACTTATCTGTGCAAATGTTGTGGTGGAGCTGTGGAAACAAGGTCTTCGAGGTCTCATGGGGTCTTGCAGCAGCCAGAACACACGGAAAACAGGAAAGGGAAGAAAGGTGATTATCAGAGTTTACGGGCAAGATGTGGATATGAGGAATATAAGGGTGCTCTGGTGCCAGAATACAGAATTGCAATACGGGGCACTTAATGCTTCAAAGCATAGCCAAGGATTTTATCCCTGTTGCTTCGTCATGAGGTTGGTAAGTCAAGCTGGAAGGATGCAGAAGTTCACAAAACGGATGTTTTAGAGTGATATCAGCAAGATGTTCTCTTTAAAAACATATTCAATTAAAAGTATGTTGTATGGAAAAAAGGGAAATAGGCTGAATGTACTTTGAGAGGTGTTTAAAGCTGTGTTTATGTTTGAACTATTGTGCAGAATAATGTAAAGCAGTGTAAGAATATCTACTGTGCAAAGTATTTAGGTGTTTTTTTTTTTTTTCCAATTAGCTTATCTGGTAGATGCTTTTACTGCTTAAGTTTTCCCATTTTTCCCCCTCATCCTTTACATCTTTTTCCTCCAACTACTTCTACATATTCCAAAGAAAGCCTTCAAATAAAAATCCCAATGAGCACAGGAAAATAATTGAGCTGTTAGAACAACATGAAACTGATTTTATTTCAGCCTTCTCAGAAAGCTGTTTGTAGCAAAGGGTGGAAAATACTCTGAGAAAATGGAGCACAGTCCTTCAGTGTCTCTAGCAAGCTTGTTGGTCTTTTTTTCTTTTCATGTTTTCTGAAAATGTTGTGTTTCATCAGGTTGCTGTGTTTTTGTCCTTGCCTTTGTCTCCTTTTCCCAACTGATGACTTTAGCAGGAAGATTTTTGTTGGAAAGGCTGTATTTGAAAACATTGATCTTGCATTTGGTTTTGAACCATACGGATCACAAGTACTTTTATGCTCTCATGTTAACAGCTGACTTCTTTTGTATCATATTTGTTTTAGAAAGCAGCATTTAATTTATTTTATGATCAATGGAAATGTACTTTTCTCTTGTTTTTCTTGCTTAGACCAGAGAAGAGTAAAATCGTTTTTAGTGGTTTTTTTTTTTTTGAGTAATTTTTGCTCCTATGTTGTATTTCATGCTGTAGATTCCTATTTAATAGCTACAGCTTTCCTTGTGACATTCTTCTGTCATCATGTTTAGCAGAGAATGGAGACATTTTAATCTTCAGCTCAGGATTCAGATTTCCAACAAAAGAATGAACTCAAAAGTGGTCTCTCTCTTTCTCCAAATGAATAGAACCATTCAAGGAATAAGCAGAATCAATGACACCAATGAAAGAAACAGTGAATTCTTCATTGACATACTGAACTATTTAAAGTTATTTCATCAGGTTTGCATTTAGGAATGAATGGCTTTTTTTATTTCCTAAGAAAGAGTATTGACTACAGCACTGAATAATGCACTCAATTACAGTCGTTACTATAAATGCTGAAATGAGATATTGCTGTAGGCCTGGCAAATATGGCATGTAGCAAAAAAGAGATTTGTGGTGTGGCTTATGAGCAATAATTCCCAAAAAGTTTTCGAAACGTACCGTGTCTTATGTTTTTGCATTTAACTGATGAATCTCCTGCTAGATCACTCACTTTTTTGAAGGCAAAAAATAATTTGTCTGCTAGAAGCACTGTAGATTTTGACGTGGTTCTCTTAAAGCAGGCTGCTTAGAGATGACTCATTAAAATGTTCTCTTGTACACAATTGGGAGTATTCCAGTGTTTGATTCATATTCATCCAAAAAGCAAGTGCATACTGTACATTATAATTTTTTTTTTAATTTCCTTGTGGTACTGTATTTTACTGCACTCTTGATGGAAGCTTGAGCACCCTCATTTAAAAAGATCACTGCAGCAATACTAATCATATTGCAAAGTGAAGTCGTCAGTTATTTGATATTTATCAGTCTGGCCTTTTAGCTAGAACAGCACATCTGAATGAGCAAACTCTTTGCTAGTAAGATAAATTGTGCTGTAACTCCGACTGAGAAAACAAGTCGTTTGTTTCTCTTAAAACATCGAATGTGCTTTGCCATTTTCTGATCTGTGACATTTTGAAGTGCACAGGAGGAATAATTACTCCTGGCTCTGGAAGGACACTCTCTCTTCACAGTAAAAGTTAGCATAATGTAATTATTGTTAGCACTCCTGGTGTGTGGCTGAAAGGTAGCTTGTGTGGTTGTGTGTGTTTTTCCTCTTTGAGTTCTGTAAGTATATACTAGTTAATGCTTTTCTGCTGATGCTAAATGTCTGAATATAAGAGCGTTCTTTTAAATTTTCCCAGTGCTAAATAAGTATGTTTTAAGGCTGGTATTAATTTGAATGTTTTTGAAAAATACCCATTAGCCATTGTCATTTATTGTAGGTGCTACAAAATATATTAGAAACAGAAAATGAATATTCTAAGGAGCTACAGACAATGCTTTCGAACTACCTGCGACCATTACAAGCCAGTGAAAAGTATGTGAGTTTGTTCTAGCTTTTAAAATAAGGCTGCAGATGACTTGGGTATTGGGGAGGGCTTATGTTATCAAAACTGCAGTTCTAGTGTTAATGTGCATTTGCTTGTGTGGACTGAGATCCTTGAAGCACGGGGTTCTGTCTCAAGTTCCTCTCATTCTTCTTGCTTGCTGACTTGGACAGGTTGATTCTGGCTCTTGATCAAGGGATCAGTAAGCATTTTTTTTTTTTTAATGTTCTAGGTTTTGTTTAAGAACAAATACTCAATAACTGCAAACATAAACACGTTTTGTTTTACCTTGGCAACAGGTTAAACTCGACAAACACTTCATACTTAATGGGAAATCTGGAAGAAATAAGTTCTTTTCAGCAGATGCTTGTACAGTCTTTAGAAGAATGCACCAAGTAAGTACATTGCACATCAGATGGTGTAGAATTCTAACAAGCAAATATTTTATTATTACTTAACTTGTTGTGTAAATTAACATTTGAGATGAAGTTTTGTACCTCTCACTGTAATGGTAGTTGCTACAGCAAAAAAAAAAAAAAGTAATAGATGTGTAGATAATCATTCTCTCCTGGTACAGGTAAATATTGGCCCTGGGATGCAAATACAGAGGTAGGAATTTTAAAATAGTTAGGAAACAATTTATAAGTTTCCATAATGCAGTTGTGTGCTAGCAAGGAGGTGATAAAAAGTAGTGTGGTTTTTTTTTGTGGAGGAAGGATTTTTTAGGTCTCTTCTTAAGAGTGAAAGAGAATAGAGGTAGCTTATGCTGTGATGGAACAGTGGAGGCAGGGAGGAAAGTGAGTTGGTTGAAGGACTCCATGAAAAGATTTTTGGTCAATACGTTTTTGTCCCAATCAATGGTAGTCATCAGATGTGTTGGGAGATGCATGTAGAATAGAAAGAAAAATCTGAAAAAAAGAAAAAAAATCAGTCTTAATGCCTGTACTGTATTATCTAAGAATCATGAAGCAGAAAGGAAAAGCGGCATGAAGAATGGAAACATCTCTTTTCCTTCTATAGGTTAGATGAGTTGTAGCAGGATGTTTTTCACTATTCCTGCAGTGAAGGTGTAAGAAAGATGAACATCACATTTGTATTTTCCCTACAGGTTTCTGCTGTTGAAACTCTGCAGAAAGTGCAGTTCCTCTTCTTAAACTTGCTTGAGTTCTTTTCCTTGCTTGTGTTCTGATTTTTGCCTGACCATGTGATGAGCTACTGTGACTGCTAATCCAAATTTGCTAGTTTCCTGCCAAATCACTCATTTAAATTGCTACTAAAGGCTGAGACAAGTTTTAGTCTTTGCAGGGGAAGTACTGGAAGCACTTCACTGCGAGTACCAGAGAATGTCTTGGACAGAGGAGAAAATACCTATCTTGGCAGCACTGATTGTACTCCATGTATTTTATTTTGACTTCTTCCTCCTCTGTTCCTCTAAGCTGATCTGTGTTAAGAGGAAGCTTTGACAAAGTGTAAGTTGTATCTCCTCTAGACATTAATTTCTGTCTGAGCACGTTGCTGACTTCGGATCTCACGTTCTCCTACCATCTGGCTTCTCTCCCTCTCTTTTTTCTCTAGACAGCTTATACTGGGGAGAATGGAAAGGAGCTAATGATTTAGCAGTGGAAGGGAGGCGTTCTCAAAATGATCTTTCTTCCATGCTGCATTTGAGTTAGAAGGGTATTCTTTTTGGCAAGTTCAAGTCAAACACGTAGCTGACCAAGTCTCAAAGCCATGAGGATGACTGTATGTCCACGTGCTTGGATATTTTGTTGTCTTTTCTCTTATCATTTCACTTCCTACTGTTGAATTCTTTTTTACTATTATCTTGCTTTTATAAGTCACAAGTTAAGAAAATGTGCAGACTGTTGTCTTCCAAAACTTTTGATTAAGCAGCTTTTAAGAAAAATATTGCCTTCAAACAAATGTTCATGCTAGCTTCATTTTAACTTGATATGTAAATTAATGCTTTATCTTTAAGCTTAAAGCAGTGTTTTAGAGTTCTTTCTGTGATTTAAATCATGTTAGCACGCTCTTTCATAATGTCCTTTGTTTTTCTTCTGGGTAAGTGAAATATTAACATGTAATAAATTAGGAAACATAATGGATCATAGTAGGTGGGCAGAGGAAGTGATGCTTCAGGATTACTGAAGGGTTACTACAAATGTTTTTGATTATTTTCTTTTTATAAATATGCTGGTCCTGCCAAGTTATATTTTCAGTTCAATTTTCATCATAGCATATCAACTTGAGCATCCAACTTCCTCCTGTTTTGAATCTAATCCATTATAATTTTTGTAATATAGAAGAATGCTTGCCCTGCTGCCCTGGTTTTTGTCATTTTGCCATGTTTTTTTGGCTGGTAAACCTGTTCTCTAAACTCCCAGGCTGCAAATAGATTTATCATTTTCTTTTATTTTTGGCAGGGAGCTTACAGTGCCATCATTCAGTCACTTCAAGTTGCAGCATCCGGTGTGTTGTTCTGTTTATTTTTTTATCTTAAACTTGTCAGAGTGACCAAACACAGATGTTTTGCCACTTGTGGTGTTGCCAGCCAACATAGCTCAACAGATTCTTGCTCTTGTGCTTGCAAGTTTGAATGCTGGTTAAGTTCTGAATTCTGCTTGCATCTATTTGTCATTTTAGTTCTCTTTAATAAATCTTTGAATGTGAAACTTCCTGGTGCTTTCTTTTTGCCCGCACCTTGTTGACTTCTTCTGATCTTCATGTTGTTAAACATAGGTTGCTTTCACGACACTTCATGCTGTAGTTTTTGGATTTTGGTGTGTTTTGGAGGAGAGAGGCATTTGGATACAATCAGATTCTGATCCTGTGTCCCACTTTCCTCCTGCCTTGCCCGATTTTCCAAACCTGAAAGCTCTGCTGGTGCAGTGCTGAAGGTTTGTCCTCTTTGAACTTGTCTGGGTTGGTTTCACTGCAGTACAGCTGCTGTGCTCCTGTGCACTGCTCCATCTGTTGCAGTCTTGGGATTTTTTCTGTCTGGCTGCCTGAATGCTAGGGACTGGGTAGCAGATGCTTTGAGGTTACATCTGCCTTTGCAGTTTCTTTTTATTGGTTAGCAAACAAAAACAGTGTATTAAATGAGTCTAACTAGCATTGAATGAGAATCTTCTGACTGATCACTTCTTTTCAAGTGTGCTTAGTTTTGATGGACGTCAAAGCACAGCAATGGCCAAGGCAGAGAGGTGCTGCTGGAGCCTTCAGCTTACAGAAGAGGATGTATGATGGCAAAACAGAGTAAGAGTGCCCCAGCCTCTTGAAGGAGTGGTCCATTGTTCTAAAGCTATTTTCAGATCTGTGATCCAGTACCGAATCTGAGGAGTGTCTCAATGAACAAATCTCTCTCTATTTAGTTATATCTGGGCTGATCCACGTGATCTCTACTGTTGAAATGCTGCTCTTTAGATGTTTTTGGAGCAAGTGGTTGATCAGATATCTCTTGCTGAAAAAAAACTTGTCCATTCACCTGACAGTACAAGCTGTCAGTCTGTGGCTGCAGTTCTCAGGGCAGGTTGTCTGGTGGTGCCAGTATCAGCCAGAGTGCCTATGTATTATCTTCTCTGTAGCAAACTAAAGGCCAGCTGCTTTTTATGTAGCAACGTACTTATCTTCTTGCACCATCACACCCATAGGGTTTTGACTTCTTTTCCCTCACATCCTCCTCCTTGCTCATCACAGCTATGTTTCTCATCTTGTTCTGGGATGGTCCTGGAATGTTATGGGGATTAAAAACAGGGGTGGAGGGGAGGGAAAAGGTCTAGTTGTGAGCAAGAGAATGCTTCTCTGTAACCCAAGATGAATGGGTATTTTGGAATTGATTCTGAGTGTCTGTCTATCACGTCTGTTAAAAGTTTGTTCTAGTAGCTCCTCTTGCTTTTGGTTACTGTGACTATCAATAAATAAGGCTATCCATCTTAAGTGAACTTGAACACGTTACCTTCAGCTTGTGTGAAGGAAACATGCAACTTCACTGATCTTAGAGAAGTAAGGTAAGCAGGTAATGAAAGGTATGACACTGAAGAGAGCACTGAAAAGTAGATTGATAGATTACAAGTTGAATAGTGTCTCAGTTTGTGAATAATAACAGCTTGGAAGGCTGTGAAAGTTTTCCTTATTTTTAGCAACCCTGTTCACGTCATCTCCCCGGCTTTGCAGTTGTTTCACGTTCCTTTCACAAACTGCATCTTTGAAGTTATTAGCTAACTTCATCATTTAATCATCTTTGTAGACCTTCGCTTACTTTCACTCTTGCAGTTGTAACAAATGAAGTTAGCATTGATGCTCAAAGCCTTTCACAGAGATGGGAACAGAGACAGGAAATTTCTTGTGGAAGGAGATGGAGAGGAATAGAAAATGCTGCCCAGATAATTCACAGAATTGTAAGGATTGAAAGGGAACTCAGGAGATGATCTAGTCCAACCCCCTGCTAAAACAGATTCCCTGAATTCCTTAATGGTTAGTCTCCAGTTTGTGACAGGCTGTGTAATTGTATGTGCAGGGACATAGATGACAGTGTGTGACAGTCTTCTGGTAACCATACAACAAGGTGAGGTTGAGAGTTGTAATCTTATCGTAGCAAAAAAGAAAGCTTACAGAAAGCATGAGATGCTGATTACATTATCTATATTTCTTTAAATTTGCCTTTGTTAACCTGTTATGATTTGTCTGGATTCATCAGTTTACAACAACCTTTACTGTGGTGTTGTAAAAGTCAGTGATGCGAAAACTGAGGTAAACTTCAGAATACACAGGATACAATTCTGTAGTGTTGCTGTTTCTCTGCTGGCTGCCAGTCAAGCTTCAGTCCAGTTATGATCACTGATCATGAGAAGTAATCGTGACTGAGCAACAAAGTCATCTTCTTTCTTACTGCTCTCAAATTATTTTGCTATAATAGGAACCCACTTTAAATCTGGGAATGGAGCTGGTAGCTGTCAGAGACAGCAACAAAAAATAGTAATTACTCAGTAATTTAGATGCTGTTGTACAATGATTATGCTTGTATAGGCCTTGTTAATGTTCTCTAATCCTGTAAATGAAATTAAACATGTCTTTGGTTTTCTTATAACTGAAGCTTTTTTTAATTCTTTAAATATATCTACATGTATATATGTGTGCCTATATTATGTATATTGTTATGCTTACAATTCCTTTTTAGTTGAGGTATTAAATGAGAGAATATTTAGATGCCAATATCAGAATAAATTATAAAACTGTGCTCTTTATTGAATCGGAGCACATAATTACCAGAAGGTTTGTATGATTTGGTGACAGGCATTAAATTATTGTTTTTCAGGCAATTAAAGGAAGTGGGGATAATTTATTAATTACTCTTGTAAAATTAGTAGAACACTCACAAATATTGTATGTAGTTGAGAAGTTGAAAGGAATGAGTGGCCACACCCTTGTGAAGTCTGTAGATTATCTTAATTCAGCAAAGAATGCGTAGCATAAAGTTACAGTGCATGTGCAGCATGTGAGCGAGAATAATATCGATCTTTCTTTCTGCTAAAAGAACAGCAGGCTGAGGAGACACAGATGTCTGCTTATTGTGAGAAGCCATAATTCACTTCCCACCATTCCCCACCCCCTCCCCCAGGCAATACAGAGACAATTTTTACCATTTTTAGCAGTTGTTCATTGGGGCCTCTTACTATTTAATGCTGAGCTATATTCCCTCTGTGTGTCTACAGAGTCTGAGATTCTCACTGCTTCTATTGCTTGAAGAATGTATTGTTAGCTCATGCTTAGATTTATTAGAGGAGACTGACTGCTAGAAGGGAAATCCTGCTAGGATGGCTGTGTGAATAACATCTCTCAGTCTACTGAGGAATGCCCCTGGTTTCCCCTAAGTGCCTGCAGAAGCTGCTGCCCTGTTAATGTCAAAATTAAAATTTTATTTCAAGAGAAATAGTTACAGACAGTAAAATACGGACTCTGGCTTTTGATGTAAGGAGCACCTGACAGTGTGATCAAAATGCAGCCAGCATGGCGTGCTAATGGGGAGTTCAGTCAAGATTTTCTGGATGCCTTCAGGTGAACGGTGTTATTGGATAAGGTTTCCCTTGTCTCACATCTGAACATCTCCACAGTCAATTTTGATTCTTCAGCGACTTGGTTTTCCTTTGCCGTACAGAGGGACTAGACAGCATCTCTCTTCAGATGGGAAACACTATCTGTTGATGTTTAGAAATGTTATAAGCATATTCAGGACACTGAGATTTTTGATTTTGAAATGAAAAACAATATTCTACCTGAGGGAATTATCTCAACTAATGTCAGCATGAGACCACCAAACTGTGCTAATGGCAGTCTGGGTGTTTGCTGAGGACTCATCTAGCTTCAGAGCAATGTGAAATACTGGATTTAAGAGTAGCTAGATGGATAAAACAACATCCATCCTTACTGTGCTTGTTAGTCTGATTCATTCTTTATCTTAACGATGAGTTCTGAGAGTGGTGGTGCGGTAGCAGCAAGAAAGCAAGACTAGACAGACTTCATACTTCCCATTGGTGTATGTTCAACTTGAAGATTTCTTTATATTTTTGAACAGTGTGAGAGTGTTTTTTCCCTATGTAAGAAGTATGCAGCTTAAGGAGATGCTAAAATAGAGCAACTCTCACAGTCTTGTTTTTGCTGTTTATACTGATTCAGAATCAGAGTTCGGGCTTTCTGCAAATTGTTCAGGCTTGAAGCTGTTGTGATTCAGTCATCTTTGTATATGTACACTCTAGATGTTTTCTTGCTGCAATTTGAAATGATAGTTTCTGCTACAAGCTTTTGAAAAACAGGTTGTATACTCATATTCTTTTTTCCTGTCCCCACCACCTCATTACTTACATGGAGAAAATGCATGCGTATCTTTCTGACAAACACTATCAAAACTGATTAGGTTCACCAAAACTGTGAAAGTAACCTTTTTTTCTAAAAGCTGTTTCACTTGCAGACTATTTTTTTTCTTCTGAAGTAATTAATGCTACTGTTACAATGTTATTCAACAAAAAGAATTCTTCTGCGCAAAAAGACTATGGAAAAAATTTACTGCTTAGCAGATGTGGCTCATTCTAGCATGGAAGACAAAGTATGAGTTACAGGAAGTATTTCTATATTGGTGGTAAAGCAGCATTTTTGTCCCTGTGGCAAATGAGCCATAAAGGTGTTTTATGATGCTTAGAAAGCAAGATGAGGGATGATTGTGTGAAAACTACCTGTAGTTGCTCCATAACTGGCTATTTGTTCTATCAGAGCTTAATATGGTACTGTTGTGAGAATTTTAAGCACGTCACATTTGTTGTTGAGGGTAGAGCAAGAATCCTATTGCCTACTTGATCCAGTTTTGCTGAAATGCTGTAATATTCATTTCAAGACATGGTGTATACATGGATAGTGACAATAGATGCATTGTGTAAAAATCAAGCTCCTAAAAAATATGCTGATTAATTCTTGAAAAAGGCCAGCCAAGTGAATGTCTTACAAATACGTCATATTATGCCTACGCTTTGAGGATGTAGCCAAGCCTGGCAGGTACAGGATTGAAGTTGTAAAGAATAAAGAAGATGCTGTTGTTTGCTGGCTGATGTCCAGAGAAACCCGTATGTTCATTTAAAATAATAATAAAGAGGTTAACATCGTATAAACTGGGTGGACTTCACTCACAGGCACATACTGTTTAGCGTGAGTTTAACTTTTCTTTGGTTCATATTAATGTAACTTCTTTGTTACTCCATTTTTAGGTTGCCTGAAGCTCAGCAGAGGGTTGGAGGATGTTTTCTAAATTTGATGTCACAAATGAAAAGCTTATACCTTGCCTACTGTGCCAATCATCCATCAGCAGTAAATGTTCTCACAGAACATAGGTATGTTTACCTTGTGGTCTTCAGAGAGTTATACAGGAAAAGTGTATAGCAGGTACTTGTGTTGTAAAGACTTGTCTTTCATTGACATGCATTTGGTATACTAGAACTTGTTTGGGAAAAAAACCAAAAACAACAACTCATAGCTTGAAGCTGGTTTGTGTCCTCCTGGCCAGCCTGTAACTTTCAGCAGCTTATCAGTTCAGAAAACTTTACCATTTACAAAGCACATACTGAACTCTGGATATGTAAAACGAACTGTACTCATTGTCGTCATCTGCGTTTTAAGGATGTAAAGATTAAAAAAATAATAATAATAAAAAAAAGGTTGTTTGAAGTAGGCATAATTAACATGTTTACTAGTAGGCTTTTAATGCAGTTGGCTAATTGTAACTTATCTTAGTCTGTGCTTTTGTTAGCATGTGGTTAACTTTGTGATAGAATAATAGAATGATAGAATAGCCCAGGCTGGAAAAGACCTTGAAGATCGAGTCCAACCACAAGCTAACCATGCTACCCTAACTCTAACAACCCTCCAATAGATCATGTCCCTGAGTAACACATCCAAATGGTTTTCAAACACATCCAGGGATGGTGACTCCACCACCTCCCTGGGGAGCCAATTTCAGTGCTTAACAACCCTTTCTGTAAAGAAGTTTCTCCTGATATACACCCTAAACTTATCTGGTGCAACTTGAGGCCATTTCCCCTCGTCCTGTCACCAGTGAAAAGAGACCAGCCCCACTCTCACCTTTCAGGTATTGGAAGAGAGCAATGAGGTCTCCCCTCAGCCTCCTTTTCCCCAGACTGAACAGCCCCAGCTCCTTCAGTCTCTCCTCGTAGGCCATATTCTCCAAGCCCTTCAGCAGCCTTGTTGCCTTTCTTTGGACCTGCTCCAGCACCTCAGTGTCCTTTCTGTACTGAGGTGCTCAATGATATGCCCTTGGGTTGCTTTTGAATAACATGAGGAGTGTGAGCTTTTCAGGTTCTTGTAATTTGTATTTCTTGTGTGTAAGATGTAGGATGCTGAGTTAACAATGTAGAAGCTGCACAGCTTTGGAACTGACCTTGAATTTGTATAGAAAATAGCAGAATTACATCTAGGATGGAGTGTTGAGGCCAAATTTGATTTTAAGTCTACTTTCCCAGAATTTCACTGTGTATTCTGATGAGCACATGCTGCAACAGCTGTTAACTTGATGCTGTTTGTTTGCTTGTGATGCAGTATGGAACCGTGACCTTCTCTTGAAGGTCAGACACTATACATTCTGGCATCTTACCTGTTCTTTTTCCTTTTTTTTCCTCTTTTTTGTCTTGATGTGTTGGACCAAAGTAAAAATATTTTAATATTCTTAACTCTGCCTAAGTAGAGAGTAGTGTAATGGTCTTGTTTTCTATGCTACTAAGCTATTCCAAGAACTCACATTTTATTTTAACAGCAGCAATTTGCATCATATTTGTGACACCTGTAATAATACTAATCCAAAAGCTCCCAGCTACCAAAGACTAAGCTGTCATGTATGTTAGTAAAGCTTTTGTTTCACTTTGCTTTGAAAAATAGGGCTGCAAGTTCACATTGCAATCCAGGCTGTTTTTAGGCTGTTTAGTTTTTTTTTCTTTTTTTTTTTTGTTTTCAGATGCAATGAATGAAAATTAAGACAATTTATAAAATAGCAATGAAATTGTAATAGTGTTTTCTTTCAGATGGCTTATTTCCAGCACCATTATCAGTAAATACTAAACATGTTTCAATGATTCAAGCTTGTTATTTTAAAATAATCTTAGGCTTAGAGCTGTTTTTTGTGCCTATATGCTCTTTTCATACATAGATCTGGGCTTTAATCTGTAGGTGGGAGGTGGCAAGTGATTGTGAAGTGAGCACCTGCATTTCAGAGTTTGAGGCGTTTGTCAAGGATTATCTTAATTTTCAGAAACCTGTCTCCTTTGTTTTCCAAAAGTTGTATTTGAGAAACAGTGATAAAAATGTGAGGGAGGTAAGTGAATTGTTTCCCAAATTGGGAAGAGAAGTGTTTAGTCTCCTCTGTGTTGTTGCTTTGGGCATGGGTTGTCCTATGCAAAAAATAGCTCGTGATCTGTAAAGTCAGCTTCGTGTCAAGCCCTGATGCAGTCAGTACTATGGGGTAATTAAGTAAATCAGGTGTGGGAATGAGCTCACAGCAGTTGTGTTGTTTGTAGGAGATAGCTCAAGGGGGAAGAATTTTTGATAAACAGTTGTTTAATGCTACTGTGTACCAATGCATGAGTCAAAAGAAGTGAAACTTTTTTTTTTAATTACCTCTGTTTTATTGTTCTGAGTCTTTCAGTTTTGTTGACTGCCAATGCTATAGGTAGCAAACAGCTCAATGAAAGTTTCTGCTTGAGGCAGTTGCCTTGAAGAAACCAGAAAATGGCTTTAAACTGTTTTGCACTTCTCTCTTCTCCAAATACAAGATACCTTGTAATTACATAATTTTAAATGTGGGGACAAGGAAGCCGGTTTTGCCTGGAATAACCTGATCGAAGGCACAGAGAAAATGAAAGCAGTCAGCACTGTCTCCTCAGTTAGCTAGTTGAAATGACTTTATTATATAGGAACATTCCTCATAAACTTCATTGTAAAAATTACTGTGAGATTTGAGGCTTGTTGTGACTGTAATAGTAATGAAACAGACACATGCATTTAATACTTGATTAATACTAAAATGAGATCTTCCAGGAAACTCATAGGGAGGTTTGGACTTTGAGGAAATGATGATTTGTTTGCTCTTCCTGTGGTATGGCTATGTGTTTTAATATGAATTAAAGTGTGGCAGAGAAATGTTTCAATTCTTGGATTTGAGTGTCATGTTTCTAACAGCTGTGCTTTTCAGTGGCATGTTAGAGTGAGGAAAAGGGAACAGTCTACAGCAGTTTGATGCAGAACATAAATCCTTATTGTCTACTTCAGATTGTTTCTTGCCATGAGCACTGTGTGCTTTATAAAGGGACCGTGTGCCTTAACTGTGAAACACACTGTACGGAAAAACTAGTAGGTAATTTTAAGTCAGATTCTTAAATCACAAGGTTAGTAATTTCTGCAGTTGATTAAATTCATTCAAATTATTAAACTCACAAAACCAAGCCCAAATCTGAGTGGTTGCTCTAGGTGCTATCATTTTGAAGTATTAACTGTGCTGTTTCTTCAGCCAGATAGATCACTAATATCAAAATTCTGTAAGCAGTCATCTGCCTTGATGAAATATGCCACCTATGAAGATCTTATATCACTTTTTGGACTTGGAAGTGTTCTCTTCAAACAGTGTTGTAGTACCTGTTGAGAGGTCTTGACACCTGGTAAAGAGTCTACATATATGTAAATACGTATAGAAACTGATACTAACTTACACAGAATTGTTTTGATCTTGTAGTTAAAAGGTATTTTTGAACAGCAGTTTTATAAACAAATGGTAATAATTTTAAACAATTCTACTTGAGATTTAAAAAGAGGCATTCAGTGAGAAAGTGACTCTTCTTCCCCCATGCTGTTCCATGTGGATGCTGGCCTGATGTTTCCTGTTTCTGTCGTTTGTGCTTCTCTTTCATATCTAAAAGCAAGCATGGGTAGTCTTTTCCTTTGTAGAAAATAAGGTGTTAGTGCATGTATACATGTATGTTTTTATGTGTGTGTATAATACAGAAAGGGATTAATCATTGTACTGCTGTGTATGAGCTTTTTCATCTTCAGACATTCAAAGCCACAAACATCTTTCATTTCCTTAAGTTAATTATTAGTAGTTAAACTACTAAAATGAATACGAAAGAGACTTACATGTGCATGACTACACAGAAGTAGGAATGAAACCTAATGCATCCATACGGGTATTCAAATTCCACAGCTAAATGTTTCTGAAGTTACCTGCCTCTGACAGCAACAATAAAAACAGCAATCTTCTGCTCTGTGATTTCTATTAGGGTTGGAGCATTATGAGCAGATTCTTGTTTCTGGTTCCAGTTACGTTATCCAAGTTCATAATAATTTTTCCAGCCTTTCGTGCAGTCTTGAAATTTTATAGGTACCTTCTGGGGACTTGCTTCTGAGCCATGGCATATTTTTTTCCAGAATTAAGATTCTTTCGGTCTAAAAACTCAAGAATGTTAAAGAATGGAGTAACTTTTTTGAGGCTTGTCACCAGATTTTGTAATTGTGTCTTAAGCCACAGGTTAGAGCTTGAGAGATGGAGCTTGCCAGGCATAAGTATGTGGTAACCCTTGCTGAGATCAGTGTTCTGGCTTCCACCATTGTGTGTGGTTCACATTTCCTTCTCCAGCAGCCATCACAGTAGCTGTGGTGCCACTGTACACAACCTGTATTTTCTTTACTGCTTTCCATATCAGTCATACCTCTCTGGCAGCGTTGTATGAGATATCAGTTTCACTATCTCATAGTTCTTCTTGAAGATCCCAGTTCAAGTGCAGGGTTAGGTGGTCAACTGTAATAATGCTATGTTATTTTTTTGGAGAAAATTGGTCAAAGCTGTACCCCCTTAAGGGTGTTAAATGGTATTATTTGCCACTTGTGCTTCTGATCAGAGAAATAGGCTTGCCTTCTAGTAAGAGAAAGAAACAGGATGAGCAACCTAAGACATGAAAGAATTCCCTGCAAGCCAATAAAAAACCCAAACAAAACGGTTGAATACAAAGTACAGTAATGAATAATTGCAGAGGAGTGAGTAGTCCCAGGAACTTGAGCTGTTACCTACCCCTGGGGAAGATCAGAAACCACAAAGTTCAGTGCAAAGGCAGGGTCCAGCAAAGAAAAAGAGGAGGCAGTAGCTAGCATGGGAATGTATGCAGTCTATATCCAAAATGGCAAAGGATGAAATATTTAAGTATAGAATTACCTGGAAGGTGGATAATGTAATGGGGTGGGGGTACTCTCAAAGCATTACTTGTCCGGTGGTACCTTATAACTCTTCTTAATTAAAGTTGTCTTAATAAACATGGAGAACATGCAGTAAGTAGTA